CCATACGAGCTACTGTGAAGTCCATCCTAGCCAAAACCAGTACATGATTATGTACAGACTATGATTTTATTTGTGACATTTTAATTTCTAATTCCTTCATTATTATGCCTTGTGCATACTAGAATTTAGTTTCAAGGAATTTCTTTATGCAACCTTTAGAAAGTTAGCAAGTTCCCAGTTGGCTGTCAGAATAGGACTAACTAATTATTTTAGCATTTATTGGAATGTGCTATTAGAAAGAAAAGGTCAAATGTTCTCACAGGAAGGCAGGGCCAATTTAAGTTCCCAGCTTGAACCTGTTTCTCCCTTGCAACAAGCGACCATTTGCTCCATCCATTCTTTCCATTTATTCTTAGCAGAATAAATGAGAGCAGCAACATCTGTTTAAGATGGGTAATTTTTTATACACTTTCAATGCTGTAAAATATTCTCTCCTCTAAAAATATATTCAAAATGGTGACTCACCATTCAGGGAGGAGAGGGGACTACATTGACACAGTACCTGTATTGACTGTACTATCAACACAGCATTCTCAGCTGATTCTACCATGAGATTCAGCTGATTCTTCCTCTTTCAGGGAAAGATTTCAAAAGATTTTTCAGCAGTACTCATTGCCCCTGCCTCATTGGGAAAACTGATTGCAGTGTTTCCAGTTTACTGAGGTAATTGGGAACCTCTATACTCACCCTATGAATTTGTATCCTTTCTGCCCTTTCTCCATTTGTTTAGAGATCCATCTTACAAGAAGGAAGAAAATATCTCTCTTCTCCACATGGGCCTTAACAGAAAGTCTTTGGCTCCTTAAAGGAAAATGCTTCCATGTCCTTCCCTCTCAATACTTGAAATACTTGAGGGGGGAGGAAAGTCCATACCCCAGAAGAGAATTTTTCTCATCAAAGAAAAAAAATTACTTGCTAGAACTAGCAGTTGCTCTTATGGACTCATGAGATCTAATCTTCTCCCTATTACTAAGTTTTACATTAAATATCTCTGAATTTGAAGGGTATAATTCATAATGAGAGAGACTGATCAGTCATGGTATGGAGACAAGTATTCTGAACAGCCACTACAGACAA